AAGAAGGCGTTCTTCCTCGTGAAATGAGGTTTACCGCCATCGAAAGAAAAGCCACGTTCTTTCGATTTAATTTCGAAAGAACGCGGCTGCAGTCTAGATGCAGGTGAGATTTTTTTGAAAAAAGGCTACTTTTTTCGAAAAAACCCCTGAGTCTGGACACAGCCTAAGAGACTAACATATTTGTTTGGACGTAAGCTTTTGTGGGCAAAACCCATTTTGTCATATTTGTTTTGGCGTAAGCTTTTGTGGGCAAAACCCATTTTGTCAGATGCATTGGAGTGAAATTACAGAGGCCACTCCACTCATACCAGGTGTTCTGCCCACATTTTGTGGAAACAAATGGAGCTAATTAAGTACACATGAATGTCTTCAGTTCTCAAAATTGGGGTAAGGAGATTCACTGTCCTCTGAAATGCATGCGTCTGAAAGGCATTTTGCAGAATGAATTCTACAGAATACCTTTCCAATTCACAGAACCAGGAGCATTACATTTCTGAGTGAAGTCAACCCGTCACGTGTCACAAAGGCAGCTTTTTCTCAGTCCTCAGCCACCACTTTAATCTCATGGTATCCAGGTACCAAATCAAAACTTTCACCTATTTTACACTAGATCTTTTATCCATTTGCCTCTATCAGATGTGAGGGGAGTTGCTATTTAGCTTGAACTCTCTGTGAATTGAGACTCCTTGAGTCAACACATATCAAGTCTCCACTAACTTTGAGGATGCTCAAGGGGATGCTCATTGCTTAATCATCCTCAAGCAAGCGAATGAGCTCCTCTTTCTAGACCACCGAGCTGCTGCCTGCACCAATCATACCTACAAAAGCAAAGGAGACCAGAGAGCAAATTGCTCTGGAGAACACTGGTTTTAATGACTCAGCTAGTAGACATTAGTTACAGGGAACAAGCAGGAAATCGATCAAAGCAAATTCCTCATGGTTATGAGGCAAACAGTGAGTGGCATTTAAACATCCCCTTTGTTGTAGCGCTGGGGGAGGTGAATAGCAAGAGCCTGTGTTAACTCCACTGTCACTGCGGGTCATGAATGAAAATGGTGAAGATGGAGTGCTAAGGTGATATGCTGGAACTTATGGGTCTTGCTGTGCATGCGTAACACTTACCACCAAGGGGACTGATCCCATGCAGGGACCCTGTGTGCTGCCGTACCACAAATAACAACTGGTAACATTTTCCCTGCTGCTCCGAGCACTGTACTAACGCTGACTCTGTTCTCTCAAGGTGTTGTCATACTCATGACTGCTGCTACGGGAAGATGTCTGCTCTTGGCTGCCACCCCAAATTGGGATCCTACCGTTACTCCATCCAATCGGGCAGCATAGCCTGCAGTAAGTGAGAATGTGGAGCCCAGGGCATGACCAGAATGGTGGAATGGTTGCACTCTCTGTATGGACAGGCTGTCTCCGGGACTCACTCCTAAGCACCCGGTAGACTAGCATGCTGCGAAATGCTGTTCCACTAGTTAACAAGTGGAAGGTGCTTGAAATAGGGAGCAGGCTGTACAAAACATGGGTGTGATTATTATTCGGGTGGTGAGTTAACAAGACAAGCTTCCCTCTGGGTGAAACTTACCCACTCAGAGGGGGACAGGACAAGGGCCTACATACTATATATGCCCTATTTTAAAAACTTCAGTGGAGCAAAGGCCTTTTATTGTCCCTCTGTTCTGGGTGAATTTTACCCTGAGTTGAGTAGAGTCGCAGGGTGCTGTTGTACCAGGGTATGTCTACACTTGCAGACTATTTCGGAATAGGGCTGCAAATGTAGGCATTCAGAAATGCAAATCAAGCCCGGGATTTAAATATCCCACACTTGATTTGCATCTTCCTGGCCAGGTGCCATATATATATATATATATATA